AGGATGCCCGGTGCAACAGAATGTGTGTGTGTGTGTGTGTGTGTGTGTGTGTGGCTCATCACCGCGCTCATTAGCCCCGGAGAGAAATACCATCACCTGCCACTGTGATTCCTACCCAGAACAGCCTTTTGACCTCCCCTTGGTAGAAAACACAGCTTATTATCCAGGTATCATTGAGGCACAGCAGCACCATCAGGACTAACCGGCGCAATGAAACCACGTGGCCTACCAAGCAAAGCCCATAATAGACGCGTTTTAGTCTATTTCTCTTTTGAGACGCATTCCACAATCTCTGAGGTGCAGTTAAGTCCTTTTTATTTGCTTTTCCTAGCGCTCATTACCAACCGCCGACTTCCTTTACACATGGAAGTGTCATCATGCGGATTAAGAGAACAATAGCTGCCATTAGCATTAGTGTTATCATGGAAAGTGCTCATCAGATAGGAGATGAGTGACCCGCGGAGGCCCATTAGCTCACATGCTAAAACCTTGATCAGCGTCATTAGGAAGACAAGAGCCCATTGTCGCCAGCTCACCTCTGAAATGATTCACATGGAGAGCTCCGCTCCACAGGTTGTTGAAGTGCTTCGGAAATAATCTCAACCGCTCGCCTGTGTTGTTATTTGCTGCCTGGATCTATCAATGGAACATTTAGCAGTTTTGTGGTCGCACGCAAATCCAGAACTGCATCAAAAGTGACTAATTCTCAGGATTCCTTGGTCCTATTTTTTTTTACTAAACTAGAGCTTCTGCTTTTTGCTTCTCCCAGCCTAACTTAGAACGATGACTAAGAGTCATTGGATGTCATTTGGGGAGTTTTTGGAGCTGAATGTTGTGCTGTGTATCCATGGAGAAGCTGTCCAGGATATGACTAGTCCTAGGTGGGATTGTCCTCCTCTGGTGTGGTTGGTAGACTCTCAGGAAACAGTCTCTTGGGACCCCTAGTGCCCTCTTCGGCTAACTGACAGCACAGTTATCTCTCTTAACTTCTGGAGCCAGCTAGTCTTTGCCTGATGCAAACGGCCTAGCTTGCAGGTCTTGAGGCGGCCTGCGAAACAAGCCAACCATGAAACAAAAATCCCCAATTCTTTTGTTTTGTTATAGGCACTCGAGCTGACCTTCCTGACTCTGTGGGAGGAAGGCTGTTGTTTTAACAAAACCGGCAGCGTTTACCTCAGCGCTGAATGAGGCACCTCACCTTGAGACGGCATACTTGAGGTTTTGAATGGCACGGCTTTGTTTTACTTTGGTTTGAGCTGTTTTTTTTCTCTTTCTTTTTTGTAGTGGTTGGCTTCCCTGAGAAAGAAACAAATGGCATTGCAGAGCCGCAATGGCAGACTCTGTGACGACAGGGTTCTGTAGTCCTCGAGGATGTCTGTGGTTGTTTGAGCTCTGAATGAGATAAGTGGCGTACCTCAAAGAAAAGGGAAGACTGCAAAAGCCAAGGCTAAATATAGAGACAGAAGAGAGGTACAAGGGGCAGACAAAAACTGTGGCTGCAGCTTATGCTGAGTCAATGTGTCTAATCACAACCAGGACTACAGCAGACCTCAGGATATGTCAGTCGGTTGGCTGAAATTAGCAGCAGGGAGAGCGCACATCCTTTGATCTGTCTCTTTAAGACGGGGGAAAGTGTTTTGGTTGAGCATTCCAGACATACCTCCCACACATTCTGGTCGGCCTGCGCGTAAGACGTATAGGTTTACAGATGTCCTTACAGATGATAGATCAAGATAAAGCTCACTCCGGACGGTAATGTGTTTGTTCACAGGCTGTATGTGTTGCTCTGTGTCCTCGTCCAAAGCCAGTCACTCACACCTCGAAGGCCTCCGAGATAGCTCACTCCCACAGAGGTTGAGATACTGCCATTCCTATCTGGTGCGCCCCAGTGTATGAAAGCACAAACCAAGCCATCTGCTGTTGTACAAACACGACTCTGCAGTGATTTTTGAGTTCCCAATGTCTCCTTATTCATCAATCAGGCCGGGATCAAAAGAGTACGGGCCTAAAATCAGTGCCAGCGAGTTTACATAATTACAAATCTACAAAATGAACCCATGTCAAGGAGACATATGGCGCTTGATATCCTGCGCCGACGGATCAACGGCGATATGTCCGCCAAGGTGATCCCCTCAGATGGGGTAACATTTTGGGAGTAACCCACCCAGTCACCCATTCCTTTGCCAGTAATTGATACAGCCTGGCAGGTATCATAACAACACAGCCCCCTTTCCTCCGGGCCAGCACATTGAAGTGTGGCTGAAATGGGCTGTCTGGCTGTGTCTCCCAATGGACTCTGGGAACTCTGCAAAGGGGTGACGAGTGACGGTCAGGGTGGAGAGATTCAAGCAGCTTTGGCTTCAGTCATTAACTGAGCAGTCACTTGGGCACTACTGTAGCAGGCTACAAAAGAGCAAATTAGGTACTTTCATTTCACAACAGCTCGTATAAGTTGGATGCTTTGGGTCTTCCGAGGTAAAGGCCTGTAATCAAGCGTGTTACGCTGAAGCTTGTTTGCCTCGCATTGATTTTGCCCTATTACCCAGATCCATCCAGTGTTTGTGAGTGGGAGGGCACTGCAAAGGGGTTAACAAAAAGCCAGGCTTTTATTTTCCCAGGTGTTCAACACACTGCAGCCTCAGGAAGAGAGCAAACTTTTAGAAGTAAGCTCTTCACCTCCTCCACCGACCAGTGCTCTCTCTCAGCCGCGTAGGAGTCGTCCTCCTGTTGTGCTCTAGCATGTTAGCGCTAATGAGGCCAGCTGTCCAAACGCTCAGCCGGTCAGCCAGAAGGGACCGCAGCCTTTGCTGGTGCTAGGTGTTACATCTCCTGTCGGAGCACACATTCTTGTCGCAACACCGCCAACCATTTGGCACAGGAAGACCGCTCTCTGTCCACCTCCCCCACCTGGACCACTCGCCCATCCTTCACTCTTTCTGTACTTTGCAGCTCCCTGCTTTTATTGTCCCGCTTGGCCGTGGCCGCCTCCCCTTCTGCACACACCAGCACATTGATTCTCTCCCTCTCCAGCTTTATAGTTGATTATTTTTCTCTCGACACACCGCAGGCGGAGAGTGTCGTCGTTGCAATCGCTGACCTCAGCTCCACACCTGAGTGGCTCTTGCCCTAAACAGCCTCTCAGACTCGTCCTGAAGCGCCTTTCTGTTTCAGAAGTGCTGCACCCTGTTCGGGCTGCTGAATGGACAATACATTACCTGGCAGAGTCTCTCTGGCGGAGAAGAGAGAGGTAGGGGATATGAGGCAGACAAGGGAGAGGGGGGGGACTAGTTTATGCAGTCTCACAATACTATATGAATCCAATTAATTATCAGTGTATTTGAATGGGAGTGCTCCCAGGTCTTCAATTGTTCTATTGGCTAGCCTGGACAGCAATCCAGCTACAAAGGATGTGCCTCACCCCTGAATATTTCTTTTGAGATACCACAATGTGGTGACGGTCCCATCATATTAAAGGGGGGAAAAAAGATATTGCGGAGTGAGGGACGAGGAAAGAGGTTGAGAATGAAATAGCTCTCCTGATGAGCCCTGATAGGATTTCGCAGCTGCGGCACAGCGGTGTTGACCCTGCGAACGACTCACCAAATAACAGACCTCCGCCTCCTCCTCCGCCACCTTTCATCCCTCCACCCCCGCACCTCCTTCCTCCTTCCCCGATCCCTGCACGTCTACCGAGTTTGCGTGAGCGCCGACCGGTTGTAGTGACCTGTAGCGGTGCGGAGAGAAAGGGAGAGACCTCACTGAAACAATCTTCATTGATTGAAACTGAGGCTCATGATTCTCCCAGATACGCCTCCTCCCGTCAACAAGAAGAAGAAGAAAAAAAACACTTCAGAAAGAAGTGGGCGGGTGGGGTTGGGGTGAGTGAAGAAAAATATTCAGCTTTGTACTGCCAGCGTATTCAGCGAGTGAGTGCAAGTGTGTGTGTGTGCGCGTGCGCGCGCGCGCATTGTGTATGATGTGAGATAAAGTAGCTGGAGAGGTAGTTTCAGTGCTGCAGCCCGGGCCCTCTGCTGACTGGGCTGCTCTCACTGGAGAATTGATTTGGCCTCCGAGAGGATCTGTAGCTCCCTCAGTGGAACAGAGGGATGGAGGAGGAGGAGGGGGGGGGTTAGAAATGGAAGGAGAGTGGGCGGAAGTAACACAGGTGGAATTGAGAGGTGGAAGGAACTGGGTGGAAAATGAAAAGAAGACACGGGAACATGCACACTCGCGCACATCTGAGGCAGACAGTCGGTCAGGGAGATTTACTCCCCGTAATAACCCTCTCTGCGGAGCCTGCTGTCTCTGTTGTCTCCTGGCTCCTTCAGCCCATAACACAACCCGACCAGGTCACACCGACTCCCACACACAGGCTCTCTCACACACACACACACACACACACACACACCACCACTTCAGCCTGCAATCTAATGATCTCACACGCTGGTGCTGCATGTGTTGTCTGCAAGTGCCAATGTTCTGTTTTTTTGTGCGACACGGACTGTTGTTCTCGGAGCTTGTCGTCAGTCACTCTGGATTCACATCTTTCTCGAATGTTCCGTACTTACTTCATTGAGGCAACCGAATCATCAAGCTGCGGTGTTTTTTAACGGCCCTCCCTCCACTCTGTTAGTGCCCAAGCTGTTTTATTCTCTCCTGCTTTAACAACCCACTTCCCCCCCCCATGGGGATCCTTTAAAGTTTCATCTCATTTATTGCAGTTAGGCCGTGGTCTGTTTAATTGGTGTTTCCAGCCCTTTACCCCCCTCCTTCAACCATTCCCTTTGATAGTTCTGACATTTAAATGACGGTACATATATTTAACCTCTCCGACTCTTGGCCTTTCACATTCAGTGGTCACAATCAAGAAGCCCATACGGCACGCCTCCCGTTATCTTTATCAAGGATGAAAACACTAAATGCTCGCCTTACAAGACTAATTAAAAAAAAAAAGATAGACCCGTCATCCTAACCTCTGTCCCCCATGTCTCCCCGTGCAGTGACTAACTACAGCAATGCGGTGGAGGCGGGCTCGGACTCGGATGACGAGGACAAGCTGCACATTGCGGAGGAGGAAGGAAGCCTGGCGGACGGGGCCGACTGCGACAGCACCCCGCCGGACGACAAGCACCCCAGGGAGCGCTGCTGGGACGGAGGTGAGACCAGACGCACCTACTTGCGGGATGCATTGTTATTATCTCTCTCTCTCTCTCACTCACACACACACACACACACATGCAGCAAAACTCTAGCTCTTATTTTCAGGTTTTAAAATCATATCTAATATCACGCCAGTGGGGGAGAACAGCGCTTGAGTCACTGTTTGTTTCTGTATAAAGACAAATAACTTTTTAAGATGCGTACATTCCCGGTGTCTCCTCTCGCTGTCTGTGCTGCCACCGTTTGGCTGGCAAAGTGTCTCTGAAAGAGGATAAGAGCATCAGTGTCAAATGAACTGTGTCAAGCAGCCTCTTTATTTACTGTTACGACATTGATTGTTTGAGCGCCGCTGCCTCGTTTTGACCTCGGCTGACGCGAGCCACGCTAAGATAAGAAGTGCCCCGCTGACGTCGGCGCACAGTCAAGTGCCAGGCTTTTGTCTCATTGTGAAAACGCAGAGTGCGAGGAAACAGGTACTACACGCGGTGGGTTCCCAACTAAGGCAGGAAGCGCGATATCAAGCAGAGACAATGCCAACACATGGAGAGACCTTCAAGCACAGAAAATAGCCCCGCGAGCAGGAGAGCGGGCGGAGAGCTTTACGGCACTGGTGGGCATTGGAGGGGGCCGCCGTGAACTTCTTTTTACCTCGAACCGCGTGTAAGTGACATCAGAGCCACAGGAAGGGCTGACGTCACATGCCCCCCCCCTCAAAAACAACAATTGCAGGTGCTGAAGGATGTCGGTGCTCCAACCTGGGCCCAAGGCCTCCACACTGCTCTCCTGACCTCATACTGCACATCTGTGTGTGTGTGTGTGTGTGTGTGTGTGTGTCTGAGAGACGCTGTTAGTTCAGGGCCCGCGCCAAGTACTGTATGTGCAACACTTGTGACAGCTCCGTATGAAATGTAATTAGATATACAGCCACATGGATATTTATTTTAGGGTGTTGCTCTCTTTTGCAGATCTTGGCTGGATTGTTCATGGGTGAGCAATGTGTGAGCTGGAGGGGGAGGGGTTTGATTTAGCAAGAGGTCGAGGTAGCGAAAATGTCCAGCGACCCAACACTTTCAGTTAAGGGAGGGTTTTTTTTTCTTTTTGAATTCCTCTCCAGCGAGTTTCAGCTCAGTCAGTTTCAGTTTCAGCGAGGTTTCGGTTGCTCTCGACCACAGACCTGTGCACGGTGTAGCCACCTATTCCCCGGGCTGCGCCGTCGTATTTGTCACTGCTCTCCAGCCGTACCTAAAGGGAAAGTTGGAGGAAGAATAATGTCATTGGTTTTGGCCGGGGTTCGCGCACATTAAACACTTCAAAAGCATGAGTTACACTGAAACACCTCAGTGAGCTGGCTGCGCTCCAGACTTATGCCTGATCAGGCGTATTTTTTTTTGGCCTTCACTCATGAGCACACACACACACACACACCTCTCTTTCTCACTGTCTGTAGTCTGTAGCCCTCATATCATACATCTAGCAGCATCTTTCTTGTCACTCTGAATTGGACTGACGAGACACGGGGAACAAACACACACATCTCTCCTCCCGTCATCCCTCCCTCTGTTGGTTTCACTCCTGAGAACAGAGAAGTCTCCGGGCCCAGCCTTGAATAGTGACCGCCAACCGCTAATCTTCTCCTCGGCATAGCCCAGCTTGCTTCAAATAAAAAAAAAAACCTTGACACCCCTTCTCCTGAGACTGCCGCGCTCCAAAACCAAACCGGTGGTTTTTCAGCGCTTTTGCCATCTCCCCTCCCCTCCCTGCTCCGTTCTCTCTCACTGGTTTCCTCTTGTTCTGAATCATTCCTCTTGATTACATGGCATCATAGGCTCCCTGCTCACTGTCATTACTCATTCACTCCTAAATGATAATGTAGTGCTGGAGCAGCCAAGTGTTGGTGCAGTAAACTGCAGCCTGTTTTCCTCTTAAGAACAGGCCGAGTAACTCCGGAGGGATTGGAAAGGTAGAGAGAGTGTTAAACCTGGGAGGGCTTCTCCTTTATACCTGACAAGCTGGAGAGCATGATTACAGCTGGTTCTCAGTTGAGCGTGTTTGGCGGGCACTCGTGCTCTGCTGCATTATTCTATTCTATGAGAGCCTTGCGAAGTTGCAAGGCACAATGACACTTACATTTTCCTCACCGTTTCACTCCTGACATGCCGTGATGATATATGATGTCCCTTAGAATCAAATCCTTTTTGGATGACTTGTTTCATCGGGGCCCTCTCTGGACCCAGGGGAACACCTACATTCCTGTGTGCCTTATGTCACTGTGTGATGTTAAAACTGAGCCACCCTTCTGGACAAGAAAGGAAGAATCATCCAGAGAGCTGGGGGAGATTGTCCAGCGGAGACACGAAGCACAAATACTTGATTGCACGAAGCCAAGGATAAGCAAGTCCTTGTAGATTTTGTAAAAACCTCACATGTAGTCTCTGACTTCTCTCCTGTTGATGGGAGATAAAGGGCAACATCTCCACTAACAGCTGTGGCGTATTCTGAGCTGTTTGCGCGAAGCCTTATCGCTGGTGCGTCTCTCCCATCCGAGATAGAACCCACGAACGGGGCCTGCATGCACAACCACAGGAAGCGGTGGGGGGCAAAGGTCGGCCGGGGCAGGAAATGCAACATGGGATGCCGTTGTATCACGTTGCAGAGATGTGGGCAGAGAGTGATGAGAAAGGAGTGAGGGAAAGAGAAGAGGAGAGAGTGGGTGGTCTGGTGATTTTGTTGGAAGTGGTACTATAGTTAGGTAACTCTGTAAAATAAAGAAAGAAAAATAAAGACTTTTTCTCTTTGTTTCTTTTACATCAGAGCTGCAACAGAGTGTCCTGCCGCTGCCTCACAGGGCTTTCGTTGCGGGGTTTTTTTAAAACCGATTTTCCACTTGTGCAGTGGTGCGTGCACATCCCTGCGTCAGCACATAAATGGCCTGTGTGATGTTTCATGTCAGGGGAGCAGCCTGATAACACGGAGCCGCCTCAGCGAGGCTATGAACCTCTCTGGCCTCACTCTGTACTCAACAAAGAGCAGAGAGAGACACACACACACACACACACACAAGAAGGGAAATCAACAGCTTATCATACCTTTGCACTGCAGACCCCCAACCGGGACTCTACTTCACAAGCATGCTCAACATTCAGTAGCCTAGAGGTGTGTTTGGATGCTGCCTTTGAGCAGTGGAGGGAAGCTAAACACAGTTAGATCAGCACTTTCCCACATGTAACAATGTTTGACAATGTCTAGTCAACTAGAAGTGTGAAAAATATGAAGGCAATTCATTAAGGGGGCTACATTTGAAATTGAAGCATTTTTTACTACCGCGGCTAGCAGCTAACAGCACCGGTGCTGACAAAGCTACCAGTGTTTACCTGAAGAGGGAACCGTAGGGCGCCACGCTTCTACAAGACAGCGTTATCAGCTGTAACTGTTAGAGCCCATTCAGAGTGGCGGCCATGTGCACGCTCACACCACTAGTGCACTAAAAGCATGCACGGCCTGTTATGTCAACAACAACAAAGCACAGAGAAGCTCATATTACAACACACAGAGAGAGAGAGAGAGAGAGAGAGAGAGAGAGAGAGAGAGAGAGAGA